TAAATGAGTTAGGTGAACCAGTGGTCGCCTTGGAAGTTGCCTCAGGCATTCATTTGGGATGCCGTCAATTCCACAGGCCTTTCTTAATTATAAGGAATTGATCAATTTTTGTACGTCACGTGGTCTGATCCTTTGAGGGGGCTTGTCGTCTGCGGTTTCGAGCAGAGCTTGAACTCTAGCCTCCACTCGCCGTTCATGGGTATCGTCCCGCAGATTGTGCGGCGTGAACTTATTTTCCAAACAATCAGCAATTGCATTGGCTCTTTCGAATGGGTGAAATTTAATGCCTGCAGCACCATGCATAGCAGTTGGTGCCCTTGGTCCATCACTCTTTAAGAAGGATATATATACCCTGAGGTGTGACTTCAGAGTTACCTATCTTTGTTTCCCACCGTTCAAGTTCCCTTTTTCGGGCCATTCGCCTGATTGATTTTGTGACCCAATTTAGTGCCGTCTTACATGCTGGATACCTGGTTTCTTGCCACAAGTTTCGTAGCCTCTGCTTATGGTTTAACAGGCGACCTAGACCAGGAAGATCGTTGTTTATGTCCGAAAGTGTAACTTTTCTTTTGGACAACCTATATGCCGAAGTAATAGAGGCTGCAAAGTCGCGTGCCGCTTTATCGGCTTCTACCCCAGAGGTAATTTCTATTTTAGGTGATAATAACTCCGAGGCGAGGTTTTGAAACCGCTCCCAATCTTCGGATTATTCAGCAGGTTCCGAAAGATTCCTAATTTTAACGTGATCCAATATGTGGAATACTATTGGTAGATGATCTGAATCCAAATATCAGAGACGATGACATCTGACATTCTGATATTTTTGTGAACCACAATGTCTAAGACGTCACCATTTCCCGCAGGGGAATAATGAGTGTTATGCAGTGGTGGCCGGGGGGCGTGGAGGTATCCACACCGTTGCCACCACTGTCATGCCCTTACGTCCTTACGACAGGGGTGGATTGGTTATCTCACCGCTGTCTCCACTGTTACTCCGTGGTGGCAGGGGGCGTGGAGGTATCCCGCTCTGTCACCCGGTTTAGTATGCTGCCATCATCTTGTTATATCAAGAAAACTCTAGTTAACTTCTCATTGCTTACGTCACTGGTCCTGGCTTAACTCGCAATTCGCCGAAGCTTTGGGAGGTCCTGGAGTCGTCAGGAAAGAGGGTAACACTTAAGGAAGTACTAGGTTGAATTAATATCACAGCTCATGCCTATCCTATTCTATTTCCCTATGTCGCTATATACATACTATATACACACTTTGCCGACGTTCGTCGGTTCGTATTACATTTGATGATGATCCTGTAGCACCACATTAGTTCTATCTCCTGTCCCCCTGCTGTCGGGTATTCTACGCCTCTGTATCTCTTAATGAACCTAGTCCATCTAGTTAGCACTATCTTTCTCTGGGGTTTACACATTAAAATTATCACACTTGTTGTTCAAGGCTATATGAAGTTCGTTCACTTACTTGAGCTGAGGAAACAGACGCTCGCCATCACCAACAAACGCCTACTCATTGCCATCGCTCTCTCGGCGATAGCCTCCGGCTGAACTCTATGTCACTTAATAATATTAAAAAGTCAAAAGTCAAAAGGTTTTTTAATTGATTCCTCTAGGGTTTATGTACTCTCTTTTTGCTGATTCGTTGGGTTCCTGGGTGTGTTAGCCCGCCCATTCTGACGTAAATTTGGGTCGGTGTGGCCCACTCATTAGCTGTTTATCGAAAAGGGGTTGGCTCTTTCAGGTCTACCGCCTTCTCCGGCTCAGCGTTTTCCTCCTGCCATAGTGTTTATGACCTACTTCATATAGCTTCTTCCTCAATGTCAGCGTTATTACCTGTCGTGCTAGCATTCTGATTACTAAGCGATAGCCTGTTACACTTCTTTGTAAACCCAAGCTTCCTGGTACGTTTCATCATTTCTGTTTCTCAATCTTAAAGTCTAGATACACTTATTCCAAATTTACCAAAAAACTATATCTACTTGTACATAACCCTTGCGCCATTACAATGAGTGGGGTATTGTGTTGCTGAGATTTCGAAATCACTCATATCAAATAAATCAATGAGGTTCAAGCCTGGGGGGGTTGAAACTTTGCTATTCCAAAATGGATGATTAGCATTCAAATCACCTGTCAAAATAGACTTACGTCTAAAGCTTAAGAGCTCTGCAATGTCAGCATCACTTAAGGCCTTGCCTGGGGATTTATAAATAGCTGTAAGCAGTATTTTACTCTTACCAATTGGTATGCAGACCCCTGTCGCTTCTACTGAAACAAGGGGTGGTAGGTCTACATGGTTATGGGGGATGCCTTTCCTAACTGCAACGGCAGTTCCGCCTTTTCTGCCTGAGTGGCGGTCGGTTCTATAAATGTGGTAATTTGGAATAAAGTACCTCTCATGAGGTTTCAGATGTGTCTCTGAAAACAGGGCCACATCTATGCGTAGGTCTTGCAGCTGTTAACTGACCTCATAGTGCTGCCTCCAGATGCCGTTCGAATTGAATGCTATGATTTTGAGTGGCCTATGAACTCTAGTGGCCATTTTGTTTCATGAGTTTTAATACAATTTTTGTAATGGCCATTATTTTGTCCTCTTCAGACACTGCACCATTGATCTCTGTCATGATCTGCTGTACTGCAGTCACAACTCTCAACATATTGTTGAGAGTTTGACTATTTGCATGAGGAGCCTGAACTGACTGACCTGTATCTTTCTGCAGTGCAGGGGCCGGTACATTTTGTTGTCACTGCAAGGCAAGCCATTGGAGCGGGGTTTGCCTGTGGTTGCTGTTGTTCTGCGTTGCCTCGTAGTACCGCCAAGAAGGACACGCCTGGGGTGACAAGGTTCGATGAGAACACCCTCTCCGTAGCAGTTTTCGGCGTTCTGTTTGCCTTCCTTTTTTGCAGCTCTTCCCTGGCGTGTCTGCAACCCTGATAGTTGGCTGGATGTGGCTTGTCTCCCTCTGCCAACTGGCAGTTGCAGCATTTTGGGGTGGAAGCAGCGTTTCCCTTCTCTAGGAATTCCTTATGCAGGTGGCCGCCTCCGCACCACAAACAGCGTGGAGGTTGTTTACAATTAGCCCAGAAGTGGCCAAACTGTTGACAGTTACGACATTGCGTAAGTCCAGTCTGAGCTCTATACGTCTCCACCTTGATTTATATGTGGCAAAGGCAGATTGAATATTTCCTGTGATTTTGCCGTCCTCGGCAAGGTTATCAGGAACAAGGGAAGGTTCTTGGTTATTGCTTCTTCAGATTGGGATCGACGGGTTGTCGTCATTTGTTTGACGCTGACAACATCGAAGCCCAGGTTTTCCAGACCATCTGAAATGTCCTGTGCAGGGATATTGATGGGGAGCTGTCGGATTACTGCCTTAACGGGCTTCTGGGATTTTGGGAAGAAGGAATAATAGGCTAGGTTATTGTTGGTGAAATGTGACTTGATGGCTTCGAAATCCGCCATGCCTTTCGTAACGACTCTGGTTCCGTTTCTTGTGCTACAGAACTCGAAGTCGTCCTTGACTACGCTTTTCAGCTTCTTTTGCAATTGTATGAGATTCGTGGTTGATGTCAATATTATTGGAGGCGGCCTACCTGCTTTGCCAGAGACTCCCTTCTCGGATGTGGCGGCCTCTGCACTGATGCTGTCAGTTTCCATTAATGTTTTCATGGGGGCGAAGAAGTTGCGGGTGGCAACCTCTTTAGAGGGCGTAATTTCAGCGGCTATCACTTTTTTCTTCGAGTTCGGGGCGGCCTCATTGGTACCGTGCCGCTTGCGCCGCCGGACTTCTTTGAAGCCGTCCTCCTGGGTTGAAGAAAATTCGGTTTCCTCAGACTGAGCAGTTTGACTGCTCGCCTCCTGCACGGCCTTTAACTTCAGTAAGGCGACTGTGTATGTGCCATACATGGCACTAAACAGGGTCTTCCCTTCTAGAACCTGGCAGTAGTTCTGGCCGTTTTTGTCCGCCTCGCTGACGATGGATGACCACTTTTCACTGTCACCTATCGAAGCCGGAGTGCTCCCTGCCACGTCCTCGATGTCGCGGGGTATTTGGAGGAGCTGTTTCAACTGCGCATCTGCGTCGGGAAACTCATCTACCAGCTGCTGGTACTGTGATTCTAGCGTCTGACGCTTCGTGGTCCAATGTGCCCGGTATCCCGGCACTGGGATGGCGGCCATATTTGGCTCCATTTTTTTGTCTCGAGTTCACTCACTTCAGTTTTTGAAGAACCACTATCAACAATGAATATAAATAGTAATTCGATGTCGAAGATTCCCCTCTTCACTGTTCAGCTACAGTCGATGCGATCACACACCTAACTGCCAATAATCTCAATCCACAGTCTCACAGGCACAAGCAGTGGACAAACACTTGAATTAAGGAATCAACGAAATTACTCTCACTGACTCAACTCAGTCTTTCACTCTCTAATCCAACTCTCACTGTATGCCGATCTGTATGCTGGCGGGGGAGGGGATGTCCACCATAGCGCATACGTCACAATATGTTTCACATAATTCTTTAGAGCGCGACGACCTCCTCAGTCTGAGCTACTTAACCGTTGGAATTGCAATCCTTATTTCGAGAAGTCAGTGATTTATGTACTTCACCAACATGCTTTCAACTTTTACAGTATGTACCGGTAATTAATGTTTTTAATTTGCTTAGTGGGGGGTGGAGCCCAACTGCGTCCACTCGGCACGGCGGCCACTGATGGCCTATTGTAGCCTGCCCCGTGTGATTATGATGATGGAGAATTTGGTGGAATGAAGATTGGCAGGGGAAACCGAAGTACTCGGAGGAAACCCGCCCCAGCGCCACTTTGTCCACCACAAATCCCACTTGACCAGACCCGGAGTCCAACCCGAGCCGCCGCGGTGGGAAGCCAGCGACCCAGCGACTAAGCGCTTGAGCTATAGCGCGGCCTTTTTACCGGTATGTACGGAATGTACTGTACAAGTTGAAAACACGTAAGTTGGCATTACTGATGGTAAAGATTGGGGTCAATTACATACGTTAAGTGCAGTGTAAAAGGTCTAAAATACGTAGCATTGTAAGTTTTGTGAAATGTTAGGCGTGTTAATTCTACTTAGTTTCCGTTGAAGAATATGCTCAGTGTATCCAGAAAGACGAGAGAGGTGTTCGGCAATATTACTGACATACAAAACTTGGTCGATGTAATGGCTTCTGACATTCGTAGGGCAGTAACGGACGCAGAAGTTCAAGGAGGCGAACTTAGTCCTCAAACAAGTGCTGTAGAACCCTGCATATCAACAGATTCACCAGGTATCAGTGTGTTGTTCATGGAAATTTATTAGTATTTGGTTGTTAAGGTAAAGGTGAGTTAACTCTTGGGCAAAGCCGTGTATTCGCTCGTATGCGTGTGTTATACGGGGGCCGACCGCAAGTGAACTGAACGATTAAAAACTTTTGTTGTAGAACAGCTAACACTGATAACTTGATAATCAGAGCCAATTGAAATTCTTTTCCGTGTTTGTGGTTATGCACACATTGAAGAACTATTTCATCCCTTATTAGCTGTTCGTGTATCACAGTGAATTCTTACACCATATATTATGGTTTACTTTAAATTGATCTAAAGTTTCAGACATTGGGTGAACAAAAACTTAATTCTTGATATAGCTCCCTCAAAATAGCCTAAGATAATTAGATTAGGTAAACATGATAATCAAAATGGATAAATAACTGATTCACTGAATACACAATTTCTCATTCAGGAATGTTGTGAACTCACTGCAAATTCTTATACCTCTCTTCATCAGGTCAGGAATATTCCAAAAGTGACCAGCAAGCTCACAGTTCCTTTCATGCTTGGATCAGCATGTATCAGACTGGATCTTCTACATGCAGTATGCTCAGCTTGCTGTGTACTTCTGCTTGTTGCATGCTTGGCTTACTCTTTATCCTTGAAGATGTCTCTTTGCCTCCAGAGTACATGATCTTACTACCCAGAAGACTGTACTCCTCATAGTCATTGAGTGAGAACGTCAGATCCATGAATTTCAGAATATATGAAGTCATACAACCAAGAATGTTCTGTTAAGAAAGTAAGGACCAAAGTTTTTTGAAAATTGGGAAATGGCCCACCATTCAGCTTCATCCTCACTGCACAGATTTTTCAGGAACCGTTGGACATGGGTAGTGCACATGCTGTGAAACTGTGTGTGTCCTGAATCTTCATTGATCGTGTAACCGAATGTTGCCAGTAAAGATTTCTTCACTTAAATATGTACAGTTAATGCAAGGAATATGTGAATATTTCTTATGTTGTGTTTTGTCCTGTAACCACTCTATGATTAGCCATGTTATTTCCAGCTTTCCTCTTTAACATATTGTCACGATGTAGGGTGCATAACTGTATGTGGGGTATGAATTGGATAATTAGATTTATTGACACCTTATGCACTGACTTGGAACTACAGACAGTTACAGCACTATTGCTGATCTACATGCTTTACATTTCACTGTTACATACACCAGTGTCCTTAGTCATCACTGGTTGTATCCTGGCAACAGATTCGTAACACTCTCACTGTAATTGCAGCATACACAGTGAAGTCTTCTTTGCACAGCTTAATTCCTTTCTTACCATTTCCTCTCAATTATTTTGCCAACTACCAAGTTCAGAACTCTCTCAATTCTCTGCTGCAACTGCCAGCTATCTCGTTGCCATCTCTTCTCAGTTATCTTCACAGAGCTCAACTGTCAACTGACTCCTCACTTGGAGCTCCAGAACTTTATTGACTATTCTCCACTGAACTCTTCTTTATAACCACATTGCACAGACTGAAAACACCATTTCCAGCAATACCTCTGTTATGTGTTTACCAATCTGTTGCTTGGAAACAGGTTCTATTGTTGCATGCATATTTATTGCCTTGTGAATGTGTTTACTGAGCCTTGCCTAGCAGTGGACATCTGCTCTTGTCTCCTCTGTTCTGCCATTCAGGTGTCATGCTTTGAATGATGATGAATTGGCATTATTTCTTTGATAGGAACTGGCTCTTCTGTTGCAGGTCTGCAGTATGAGCAGGATAGCTTGTCCAACATGTCACCAGCAGATGAATTGTCCAAAAACAGTTCATTCCTTCTAAATCAGAAATTCACAAAAGATGATGCTCTGAAAAACTGTGGTGACTGGGTGGACAATCAGTCATCTCACATAGAAAAGAAGAATGAGGGTTCTAGGCCATCACAGAAAAGGAAGCAGGCACCATTATGCGAAGAGCAATGTGACTCCCCAGATGAGAATGATGATGCAGATAGCGTTGTATCATCTGCTTGCAGAAACAAGCGCAGGCGCAAGGCAGTAAAGATGAAAGATGAGCAGCTAGATCTGCAGTGTGAGTGGCAGGATTGTGATTATGTCACTTGTAATCTTGACCAATTTGTGCGCCATGTCAGCCTCCACATACCACATCTTGAGGTCAAAGTGAATGAGGATCAGGAAGGTAATGGTTTTGTTGTGTACCCTAGGATCCTTCCTGCTTCGATAAGTATTGATGATGTAATGTGCCCAGTCATCCACTTGTTCATATTAACTCCTGTTCCATGTTCAAATATCCCAGATGAATTTATTGGTTTGAAAATAGGAAACAGAGATGGAAACTAACAATTTAGACATTAACGCTTTTCATGCCATGAGCCGATTAAATTGCATTTCCACAGCCAAACAGATAGGCTTGATATCAGTCATTTAGAACAGCATTTCTGTTAATAGATGGGATCAAGTGTAGTATACTGATGTTTGGGGGAAAGAATAGACTTTCTTGGTGTCTACGTATGGTCATTTGAAGGTTATCTGAGGAAGTACTGTGGAGTTTTCTGTGCAACAGTATTTACCCCAAGCAGCCAAGCAGCATTGCATTTCTAGCCACTAGTTCCATGGCAGGGCTTTGCAAGCAGAACATGAGAGGGATGTCCTTGACACTATGAGAAGCTCAGCTGGAGGGACTTTAGACTTTTACAAATAACCTTTACCTTGCACGCCATTATCTAAACAATTTCCTTCACCAGAGAGCTCAGAGGTTTTATAAGTGGGTTAGGATTTTCATCATTAGACAGCATGCTGCATTGCATGTCATGTTAGAGCAGAAGAAATACACTTCCATTATTTTTTGGCATTTCCATGAGGGAAACATAATTAAGTTGTAAAAAATTGGCCAGATTTCTGAGCACTAATCGCATATCTGGTAAGATTTTCTTGTAGAATCATGGCAGTCAAAGGGTTCAAGCAGAATGAACCATGGTATGATGGAAATAACTTAGAACAGAGAACTAGCTTATTTTCTATTGCTTCAGTTGGATATAACAGTTCTTCTGAGTAAAAAAAAATTCCATGTAAAAGAAAAGAGAATGTTATAGTTTTAATCTTTACATTTTCAAAAGAAGATTTTTAAATAATTAGAACTGAGCAAATATTTGATTGAAATGCTATTCATTTGTTAACAGCTGTGCTATGTGTTGTCCATCAAGATTGACATGCTTCCTTTTCCTGTCATTTTGCTTGTGTAGTCAATCCTTAATGTGAGATGAAGTGTGAGTGTGGAGACAGGCTTAGTTGTGATGTACCATTAAATGCTGATTAGAAGGAAGTCTGCTGCATGATTTTTCTGCATGTAACAGGCATGTTGGTGAGGAAGTTTTTCAATTTGACTTCAGCTTTTACCTTGTTTAAGGATTACGTACTTTTTTTACTGTACCAGATGATAATAGCTGATTTTCAGGTGATCTTTAGATATCTCACTAAATTCAGTTATACAAGGAAAATATAAGTGGCATTCAATGATCAAGGAAGCCTGGCAATGGTGTGGAGTGGGCACAACATTTCTCACAGATTGCTGCTGTAACTGCCAATAGCAGAATGAGTCATTAGCACTGACAAACACATGCCGTCAGGTGGTCTGATCTTGTGACTGCAGTAAATCACATTAATAATCTGTGTTAGAGGTGTCATTAGGCAGTAGACATGTATATTGAAACGAAGTTCGCTATTGAACAGTGTGTGTTTATTGTCAAAACTTTTGTAAGGAAGAAAACTTAAGCAAATGTTTTCATAAGTTTCGTCATAAATATCCTGACTTGCCAGTTCCCACAAAGTCGTGTATATCCAAGCTTGTGAAAAAATGGCAGGCCACAGGTACGGTGTGTGACATAAAGAACAAATCGAAGAGGATTGTGCTGACTGAAGAAAAGGTTCGGGATATTGAGGCACAACTACAGATCAGTCACAAAGTAGATAACTTTCAGTTCAGTATGACATACAGGTTTTACAACACTTCAGTCTTTATTCGCCTTCCATGTTTCGATTCAAAAGAATCATCTTCAGTGGTGCACCACTATGAGCAGGAAACACTGTCACATAAAATGTTTTAACATTATGCACTT